ACACTCACTCACACACACTATAACACTCACTCACACACACACTCACACTATAACTCACTCTCACACTCACTCACTCACTCACTCACACAATAACACACTCTCTCACACACTCACTCACACACACTATAACACTCACTCACACACACACTCACACTATAACTCACTCTCACACTCACTCACTCACTCACTCACACAATAACACACTCTCTCACACACTCACTCACACACACTATAACACTCACTCACACACACACTCACACTATAACTCACTCTCACACTCACTCACTCACTCACTCACACAATAACACACTCTCTCACACACTCACTCACACACACTATAACACTCACTCACACACACACTCACACTATAACACTCTCTCACACACTCACTCACACTCACTCTAACACACACTCACTCATTCACTCACACTCACACTATAACTCACTCACTCACTCACACAATAACACACTCTCTCACACACTCACTCACACACACTATAACACTCACTCACACACACACTCACACTATAACACTCACTCTCACACACTCACTCATTCACTCACACTCACACTATAACACTCACTCTCACACTCACTCACTCATTCACACACAAACACACACACACACTCACACTATAACACTCACTCTCACACACTCACTCACACTCACTCTATAACACACTCACTCATTCACTCACACTATAACACTCACTCTCACACTCACTCACTCACTCACACACAAACACACACACACACTCACACTATAACACTCACTCTCACATGCACACACACTATAACACTCACTCTCACACGCACACTCACACACACTATAACACACTCACACTCACTCTCAACTCTCACTCTCACTCACACTCTCACACTATAACACACACACTCACACTCACTCACTCACACACACACACTCTCTCACTCACACACTCACACTCTATAACACACACTCACTCACAATCTCACACTCACACACTCTCACTCTATATCACTCACTCACTCACACTCACTCACACACACACAGAGCTCATAATGAGGGTCCCGGTGCTGTCACAATGGGGCCATTGTGTGAAGGGCTCATGGGTTTCATCAGAACATATGCAGAAATATGAACGGCGCGAGTTCAGCTCCGAGTCTCTCAGCGACTGAACTTCAGATAAGTCAGTCTGATCTGAACACAGTGAACGTCAAACCTGTCCAGAGGAAGAGCTGCGGGTTCGAGCCAGTCATTAGTTCTGGTTTGATCAGGTTTACAGCATGTCGGTGGTTTAGTGTTGGTCTCATGTTCACACCATCAGCACAGCAAACACATCACGACTTGTTTGCACAGAGCAGTACAGATTGAACAGAATCATCTGCATTCAGTGCGTGTTAGAAAATAATACGGTCCTTCAGTTTGAAGTTTCAGTTAGAAACACAAAAATCAGCCAGTAAAATTAATAATTATACATGTTTATTTAGTACTTCTAACTTAAACTAAATGAAAATGACAAATGTTTCCTGAAAATAAGTTTTATTAATAATCTTATAACGTTTTTTATTATTATTTTTATTAATAATGTTGTATTAATTTTATTAGTTTACGTTTTATTAATTTTATTATTTAGTTTAATTCGTTTGTAGTTTTAGTACTACTAAATGAAATTGAGAAATGTTGCTTGAATTAAAATAAGTAAACTTGTTTTTTATAAGTTTTTATTTTTATACATTTTCTTTTTTAATTTGAAAACTGAGTTGCATTAAACTGGTTTCATTGTGTTTTGTCATTTTTATTAGTTTGTTTTTTCCCCAAATATGCCTATATAGTTTTATACATTTTTAGTTTTAAATAAAATAAATGTTAACTGGAAAAAAAAGTTTCCAAGGCAGCATGATGTATTAAAATAACTAAAACTAAAATAAAAATGAATAAAAACTATACATAAAAACAACAAAAACGAATTTAAAAAATGCCAAAAACAATAAAATGACTAAAACTGTAACTAAAACTAACGTGAAAGCAGAATATATATATATATATATATATATATATATATATTGCAATAAAGCGATATATATTGTAGCAAATCTCAGCTGCTTGATTGTTTAAATTGTCACAAAATGTTACAGTATTATTGTCCAGCTCTAATCTGATAAATGCAACTATAAGGCATGAAGATAATATAAACATTAACATCATGATTTTCTGCTTTGAAACAATTGTTGTGAAGTGTTGTGAAAGCGCTATACATATACTGTAAATTAGACTTTGACTCAAGTACTTCTGAACTGAATTCTTGCACTCTTAATCAAGCATCAGAACCTCATTTAGACCTTTAAAGGGACAGTTCGCCCAAAAATGACAATTCTGTCTTCATTTACTCGACCTCCGAGTCGCTCCAAACCTCTATGAATTTCTTTCTTCATAAGATGATATTTTGAGGAATGTTGGGAACCAAACCGTTTCTGGTCCCCATTGACTTCCATTGCATTTATTTATTTATTTTTCATTCAATGGGGACCAGAAACTGTTTGGTTCCCAACATTCTTTAAAATGTCTTCCTTTGTGTTCAAAAGAAGAAACTCATACAGGTTTGGAATGACTTGAGGGTGAGTTTTCATTTTTTGGTGAACTGTCCCTTTTAAAGTTCTTTATTGCTTTACTAACCAGCCCATCACATTTCAGTGGATTTATTTAAAACCAAAAGCCAATGAAAGGCATGTGAATGTCCAGTGTATCCAGACGTTCATCCTCGTGAAGAGACGCCACCGTCTCTGACTGTGTTTCTGATATATGAACAAATGGAGCAGCTAAACGCTCAACTTCTGTGTCTCGGCAGTGGGTTTTTGTCCATATTAAAGTGTTTCTTGTGTCCCTGGCAGCGGCTGGAGGTCTGGAGAGCTGACGGATGCAGACGCCCCACTCAAGCCGTTCCTCCACGAGAGCCGAGATCTTCAGGAGGACGAGGACTCGAACCCGCAGCTCCTGGAGCTCCTGGAGAAGGTGGAGCACAAGCTGAAGAAGAAGCGCCACAACAAGCAGAAGAAGCAGCGCCATCGTCAGTTCAACGACCTCTGGGTGCGGATGGAGGAGAGGTGAGACCAACCACGACCAGCTCAGCGTCTCACTTCAGTACCTTTGTTTTAAATATGCCTATATAGTGGTTATATCACGAGCAATGTGGAGCTGATGCAAACTCACACAGACCCGACGGAGAATCTCAGACTGACTGTGATCTGTGCTGGAAATGGAGCATCTGCTTCCAAAAGACTGCAGAACCTCCGTCTACGAGAGCTGTATTTCATGTACACCAATATTTCACAGATCAGTGTCACATTGTGTAGTTTCGAACAGACTGACGCTTGTTCCCGTGTCAAATCCCACATGACATGTTCTCTGCTGAGCCTGAACCGTGTTCTGGAAATTTGCATGTATTTACTTTTACAGTCGCCCACGTTATTCTGAGTTAAAAAAATATTTCTTTAATAAACTGTTTATGAAAGCCAAGCGGGTCCCGGTTCAGGCCCAGACGGTCAAAACAAACAATATAGACTTCATTTATTTGAACCCGTGGAGGGAAACGAGCGCCGCGCTTCAATACGAGATCCAGAACTCGACAGAAACCGCGTCACCTCAGCCGCTCGTCTGGATTTCATCGACACAGATGGAGGACGTGAATGAAATCCTCAGACTCTTTATTTGTGTTTCCCGTCCGTCTCATGAGCTCTGACAGACTCCAAACCCTCCCTCCCTTCTTCTTCATATTTCATAAACGCTCAGATTTCAGCCGCTCACGTTTGAGCCAAACCACACGTGACCCAGAGTCTGTGTAGGTCAAGCTCTTCTTCGGCTGATGTTTTAGCCACAGACTCACAGTCCTCTTTTTGATCTGGAGTGAATGTGAACCAACTTAGATTTATTCTTAAACCCCAAGAATCGAACTTAATGAAACATTATTTGTAGCTCCTCCCATCCAATAAATTGTGATAATCTTTATGCCTTGCTACTTTTGATATGAAACCATCTCAGCTTTCAAACTCTGGCAGTTTTATCACTAAATTAAATCAATAAATGTGTTTTTGTCACTTTTTAATGTGTGGGAACGGATGGCTGTAGTGAAGGGATTAGGGCTGCTCGATTAAAAAAAACATCATCACGATTATTTTGGTCAATATTGTAATCACGGTTATTTATCACGATTATTGGGCCACATAAAACTTTATATGATTGATTTATTTAGAGAAAGCGATATACTGTATATTTTCTGTAAATAAGGTTCATATGACATCTACATTTTATATTTAGATGAAATTTCACAAATCTCAATAACACAGCAGAATACCAGGGTAATCATATTAGTAAAAAAGTCCTCAAAAATGACTGAAAATAGTTAAACTGTCAGTAATACAATAAAAAGCAAAGGACAAATACAATAGAAAAACAAATAGGGCTTTAAGTTTTTTATGCAAGTCTATTCAGCTAACAGCCTACTACAGAAATTAAATAATCGAATGTAAAATAAAACTTCAGTGCAAGAATTACACTTCCTTTGTTTCTTATGACTCACAGTCCTCTTTTTGATCTGGAGTGAATGTGAACCAACTTAGATTTATTCTTAAACCCCAAGAATCGAACTTAATGAAACATTATTTGTAGCTCCTCCCATCCAATAAATTGTGATAATCTTTATGCCTTGCTACTTTTGATATGAAACCAGCTCAGCTTTCAAACTCTGGCAGTTTTATCACTAAATTCAATCAATAAATGTGTTTTTGTCACTTTTTAATGTGTGGGAACGGATGGCTGTAGTGAAGGGATTAGGGCTGCTCGATTAAAAAAAACATCATCACGATTATTTTGGTCAATATTGTAATCACGGTTATTTATCACGATTATTGGGCCACATAAAACTTTATATGATTGATTTATTTAGAGAAAGCGATATACTGTATATTTTCTGTAAATAAGGTTCATATGACATCTACATTTTATATTTAGATGAAATTTCACAAATCTCAATAACACAGCAGAATACCAGGGTAATCATATTAGTAAAAAAGTCCTCAAAAATGACTGAAAATAGTTAAACTGTCAGTAATACAATAAAAAGCAAAGGACAAATACAATAGAAAAACAAATAGGGCTTTAAGTTTTTTATGCAAGTCTATTCAGCTAACAGCCTACTACAGAAATTGAATAATCGAATGTAAAATAAAACTTCACTGCAAGAATTACACTTCCTTTGTTTCTTATTAAAGCTAAAAAGTCCTTCAGTTGAGAGCAGTGAGTGTTTTCTCTCTGTCTTTTGTTGTTAGATTAATATTAAGCACAGTCGGCAGCAGGAATATTAGGCTGCTGTCACTTTAAGAGCTGCACGGATCTGTTACACACGTCTTTTCTTTCTCAACTGTTTACATTCATATATTACATAACCGACGGCGATTTACATGATTAATCACCAAGCACCGCATTGACACATTTTCACGCTTTTAAAACATGAATAAATGTAATAAACTTTAATCAAGCACGGCCCATTTTGCAAAAGTCACGTTACATGATTTTACTGTTTTGCGCGTGAAATTGGGCTTTTATGGAGGAGTGAAAGCGCACCGCTGGAATGGGGCGCAATAATCGTTTTATCTCGATTATTGCATTTTCATAATCGTTGGAGGCCGAAATTGAAATCGAAAGTGTATCGCTTAATTGCACAGCTCTAGAAGCGATCATCTCTTCCTCTTTACTACTAGTTACGGCAGCAAAGTTCATTGGTCACGGAAATGTGCATATGACAATAAAGGCTTTGAACTTAAAATAAACATGAACGAACATCAGAAGAAACAGAACAACTTACTGAAATCAATCAATCAGTGTTTCAACCGCGGAAAGACGTCAATAAAACAGCTTGAGATCAATAATGTCACGTAACGTCACATTGACCACAGGAAAGACATTCAGTGGCCATAAGCTCAATAGTCAGCAAGAAAAAAAAACTCTAGAAAGAGCATTTTCATAAATATATGCACTACACAACAAGCTGGAGTAGAAATATAATTATATCATCATTTAAAATTTTCACTGAATGTCAGATGTTGTACATTGGATTAGGATAATCACTAGATGATGATGATGATGATGATGATGAAGCCGTGTTTCTCATGATCTCTCTCTCGTTTCTCGCAGTGTGACGGCCGAGGCTCCGCCTCCTGTCGTCCGCATCATCAACGGTTACATCACAGTCCAGACACTCCCACAGAAGCACGGCAGAGCCAATCAGCACAGGACGTTCTCAGGCTCCTCCTCCTCCTCCTCCTGGAGCCCCGCCCTCACTGCGACAGCTCTGTGTGTTCAGATCCTGCTGCTGCTTTTATAAGATCTGATGAACCCTAAACCGCACGGCCAGACTCTGAGCCTCCTCCTGCTTCATGCTGAACACTTCACTTCTTCAGCTCTTGAAGAATCCCTTCCGTGTAAATATCAGAAGTTTTATAGATGTAGTTTAGTTTTGAAGAAAGCATTTGTTTGTTTACTTATTATATAAATAAAGAGTCATTATATTTTTGTGACTAAATCAGCTACTAACTAGCTTAACTACAACTGGCCTCGCTCACGAAACAGCAGTGGATTTCTGCTTATAAAACCTTAGAAATCAAATCACTTCCTTCAGTTTGGTTAGACTTTCTACATAAAAGCAGATTTTCAAGCGATTTGTGCGAAAGTGAGTTTCATGTCAGAAGCCCGTTACGCTTCATCTTTTCTATCTGTCAACTTCATGCATTTGATGATTGTTAAAAATGTTGTTTATGACATAGAAATTAGTCATTTAATTTATTGAATAGATAGTTTTAGTTGATCTAAATGTGTTTATGTGATTGTTTATGGCACTGAGACGTTTGGACTCGACAGATTCTGCCTGAACTGATGACTGGCGCAGCGACTCTATGGAAGAGATCTTTTATTATGCTCTTTACAAGAAATCGTTAGATGGATTTATGATTTTGAACGGGATGGTTTATTTCTGGTTGCCAATGAATGTGTGAAAGGATTTTTCTTTGTAAAACATCTTTCACTAACAATGGTATTGGGTTGCGAGAGCTGCTCTGAGATCAGATGTTTGTAATGCATGTCAAATACAAAACAGAATACAGTTATATAAACATTTGAATGGTAATTTACTGTAAATGTGTGCGTTTGGCTATAGTAAACCCCGGCCAAAATCACTACTGTCAGAGATAATTGATAATTAGCACACGGTTTGGATTGGCGTATGATTCTGTTCTGGGCAGGAGCTCAACAAGCAACCTTCGATTCATGAGAGCAATGATAAAACCCAACAAAACAAACCATACATCCAGCATCCCGAACACAAACCCAGAGAAAGTCAATCAAAGTGCCAGAAATGATCACATTCCAAAACTACAGCACTAATTACCTTCTGAAGAACATACGGCCTTCAGCTGATACCAATACCTGAATTAGACAAGCAAACAACAAACAGATCAGCCTAAAGCAGCAAGCATTTGGCCAGAGAAGACTAACTAACCCTAAAGCAATAACTAAATAACCCTAAACAACAACAAGCATGTTGCCAAGTAAGACTAGCTCTAAAGCATGTAATCAGCAGATAAGCCTGAAGAAACAAGCATGTTGCCAATAAAAACCAAGCAGGCCTAAAACAACAAGCACTGAAGAAACCCGAATAATTAAGCAACAAGCATGAACGGAAACTTACCTGAGCTGCTGCACTGGTGACACATCCACTGGGAATGGGATTCTGCTGAATCTTTGCGTTTAACTTCACCGACAGAGACGCTCGGGAGTCACTTACAACACCAGCAGATTCAAATATTCGCCTGTTCAACTTCAGCAAACTCGAATCCGATGCGAAAAATCCACGCATTGAACTACTTGCACAACTACTTCCGCTTTCTACGCAGCACGGCTCGGGAGTTTCCGGTCAGCGTTTAGAGCACCTTCTTCTTCTTCTTCTTCTTCTTCATCATTACTTTGTATTCCTCTATATTTTTCCTACTCACATGATCCTCCTTTCCACTATCCGTAAATGATCCTTGACTATTGTTTTTCTTTCTTTTCCGATTGACTACTTTCCACCATTCACTCCCTGCTGCACTCCCGCTACACGATTCGTCTTCCATTTCCGGATCACTACCAGAGCCACCGTCATTTCCTGCCATCAGTGCTCCAGTCACAGTCCAGTGTTGCCGCCATGACTTCTTCTTCTTCTTCTTCTTCTTCTTCAGCGTTTTTGGCGGTTGGCAAACCAGCTAATAGGTGCTTTACCGCCACCTGCTGGAGTGTGGAACAAAAGTCTGTTTGGCGCACCTACATCCAGACCGTTTCTTATGAGAAAGCAGATTACTACGTTTTAGGGATGGACTTCTTCTTCTTCTTTTTTAAACAATTAGTCATATTCTCTGCATTAACATGGATTATCTTCAACCTGCTGAAATGTTCCTAAGAATACATTTCTCTTCCAAATATGCATTCTGAATAATAAATAAATATATTTCCTCACTAACCTGCCGAGGTCCAGCGCTTGTCTTTACAATTTTCTCTTACTGATCATATTTTATACCTGTTGAATTTACAGTTTTAAAAGAATTTGATAAACACCCTTACACACTTACCCCCTTTTTTTTTTTTGCAGTTTATTATTTGTATAACCAAATTTAAACACCATGGTTAAACTATGGTTAGTGTAGCAAAACCCGGGTTTATTTGTGGTTTATTATGGTTTAACCACAATTGCAATTTTTTTGGTTTTATTTGTAGTAAAGCCACGGCTAATTTAAGAACATTATTGCTTGTGTGCATTGGTTCTCCTGTTCCAATGTTTAAATGGTTGAATGAATGTGCGGTAACGGCCTTAAAGAAATTTAACAATGTTAAACATTTAAATAATTTTTAACAGTAAGGCGTTGACAGTGCGACCACTTTAAATATTCATATTTTGGCATTGCATACAGTGAAATGATTGTGAATGAAAAATGACACATTTACATCTAGGCTACATATTTAAGCATATGAAATACAGATAAATAAAGGTTGATTCTGATCATATTCATCATCAGATCTCACACACACTGCAGCGTCGCGAGAGTCACGTGTGTTTACCAGCCACTGCTTTATCAGATCGGCTTATAAATTATGTTGATTAATAAAACTTCACCTTCTGTTGAGTTTGGAAAATTCTGCACACAGTAATCATCAGAATATTTCTTCTCCTGTCTCTGAAAATGTCCGGATTTTGAAATCATCCCGCGGACTCTCGTTTTAATAGGCATTGAAGTCAACTAGATGATTAAGGCACATTGAAAATATATATAACCGGAAATAACTGAGCCGTATTATTTCAAAACGGAAGTGCGAGGCTCAGAGCGCGAGCGACCGATGCGACCTGAACTAACTCTAGCTTCCTGAATGTGAAACGAACTAAAGTGAATATGGTTTTATTATTGTTATTAGTTATACGATTCAACAGTGCGTGCGTGTGTGAGAGAATTTTGAAAAAACTTTACTAATAATAATTTTTCATACAAAAACATCTAAGAATAACTCAACACCAAAGAGAAAAGAACAAAATAGATCACCTTCAGAAACAACACACAGTGCTCCATCACTGCACCAAATCATTTCAAATGTAGACAAATCTTCCATAGATCAATCAATCAACACTCCGGTGGAACAGGGATTCATGTGGTGTGAAAAACGCAAATAAATCAGACCGTGTCCATTTGCAGAAGTGACTGAATGTTCCTCTCGTCTGCACTCGCATCTAATAAAGTCCTGTGCTTTCTGACAATATGACACTGAACATAACAAACTGCTGCAGAGACTCACGCTGGAGCAAACCTCACATTAACATGACAGGCGTCTGCTGATGTGTTATTATGTCATGTTACAATTCCTGCTGGTGTTTATTTATCCAGCGCTGTCCCAGAATGCACCAGGGGCCTCATTTATAAAATGTTGCGTAAAAACCATCCTAAATTTGTTCTAAGATAATTTCTCAAAAGTGCGTAAGTGCGATTCAGAGAAAACGAACGTGCGCACAAAAACACGTGCGTGCGCCTCTCTTCCAGATGTGACGTTTAGAAATGCAAATGATCTTGAAATTGTGCGCAGCTGACTGGTGTCAGATCTCCGCCTTGTAAACGCCCCCTAATTAATATCATTAGCATATAAAAGAGCACACGCCAATATCCGAATTTCTGTGTTTGAGAATGACGAGTACAAAGAAAGAAAAACTTTACTGAGTCTGAAATTGAGGTCCTGCTGGCGGAGCTACAGGTTCCTGCGGGACGCTTTTTATTTAATGTGTAATTATTCTGTGGACAAACAATGTGTGTGTGGTTATATTTTTTCGATTGACTATTATGAAAATTATTACTTCTAGAAACAACAGAAATAATAATAATAATAATAATGATAAAACAATTAGGTTTCCAAAAGTAAGCATAGGAATTCAAGTAAAATTTTCAGTCATCTTATAAAAAGTGAGCAATCCTACTTTTAAAATCACTTGCTATGACAACTAATAAAAAGTTTAGTATCACGAAATTCTTGCAATACTTTAAAAAACATTATTGAAAGAAAAATTGGACGTTTCATATCATAATAAAATAAATTATTACACGATTATGGTCTCCGGTGCTGCTCATTAATGTACTGACACAAAAATATATAGTGTATTTTATACAAATATAACTGATGTAAATGACAAAAACAAAGTTTAAGGCTGATGTCTCTATTCATTTTCACAGAAGCAAAGCAGCAGATGTTATAAATAAAAACGGTTAACAATGTCATTGAATAGAATATAGGCTATTAAAACCGTTATTGCACGACATAGGCCTATTATTATAGACTACACAGACAAGACAGTCGGAGATGCGTTTATGCATTTTTTTTTTCTATTTTACGCATTAGTAGTAAATCAAGACTTCGCAAGTTCTCTTGTACAAAACAAAACAAACAAACAAAAAAAACAACTTGGAATAAACTACAGAAAGCGAGTAAAGAACTCTCGACATTAGGCTACTAAAAAGGTCAGTTTAATCTCGCAAAAACTCCCGTTAATAAAAAATCTGACTACACTGCACAATTAATCTCTCACACTGCATCTTTGTTGCTTATGATGAATTCGGTGCTTGCACGTACACCGCTTTTATTATTATTGCAGCTTAGATGTTCAAATAGCTGCAGTAGCCTACTCCGACTTTGCCACAAGGAAAAGTGCGTACGCCTGCTCAGACCCTGACGTGGGGTATTTGTGAGTATTTTTTCCACGTCAAAGACCGTTTTTATAAATATGAACGTTGCCGTGGATTTTAGCGTACGCACACTCTAAGATTAAATCTGTGCGTAAGCACATTTTATAAATGAGGCCCCAGCTGTCCAGAGGCGTCACATCAGACACAAATCATCATCACACCTCCAA